CATCACATGACCGCGACATCATTCCCACCATCAGATAATAGTTATGTCAAAAGGTCCTGTGAGTAGACAAGACGTTTACTAGCATCATAGGTCGATGTAACAAGGTAGTCATCCATATCATTCAGTCCTACTTTTAATCTAGTCTGCCGCTTGCTATAAGTAACACAGTGATGAATGTTAGTCCTTTGTAAAAAACTGGGGTGAAAAACTTCATGAACACCTGAGTTGTGACAAATTAGTTTTGGTGCATGTTGAACCAGACATAAAACTAGTGAAACTGACGTGTGAAGGACATTAGTACAAAGGCGAGCATGTAACAAGTGGTCAGTTGAAGACTGTATCTGTTGGTCGAATAAAAAAGCCCAACAGAAATACGCCCACATCAAAGTAGACAGGTAAGTCTTATCTTATGCCTCACAGAAGCCAGAAAGCAATAACGATTCCCCTCTAAATGTAGGTCTTTCAAATTTACCCGGTAAAATAACAGATAAATCCAGAAGATGCTGTGCTCATTTATAAAACCTTCTCGTAAAATAATAGCTGTATTTTTCGCTATAACTTTGGTATTATTGTCAAGTTCCGTATTAGTACTACTATAATAACAGACCTAGCCCCGAAATCGCAGATTTTTCGTGATGCAACATCGTCCGCACGGGCTCGTCCTATTGTGACTATTAGCCACATGAGGTCTAGCATTTCTGAAGAACAGATTTTGGCTGGAGGTAGAGAACAATATACTTGATAGTGACCGCGCCTGTACAACTGAGTCATGCCGTTTCGATTCCTTGCTGCTGACTTTGCTATGTTTGACCCCTACCCTATGTATTTAAATACTGAGTTAGATGCTCGACTCTGAAGATCGCGTGGACATTACAATATCTCAGTTCGTGGGAAATTATAAGCGACCAATCATAAGAAACGGCTTACATTAAGTTAGTAAACATGAAAAAAGCACTTTTCTACGCATTGTGAAATGACGAAAAACATTATTAGCTTTCTTCCTAATGGGCATTTTATTGGAGCTTCGTGCAAAATGTTTTTAATTTCTTTACTTATTACTTACACCAGTTACCCCTCATAGAGGAACTAAGCCATTCACCAGCATTCTCCAACGAACACTGCCCTGGGCGTTACTTTCCTGTATTTGTTCACCTTTTTATGTCTGTTTCCAATTCCCAACACACTGTATTCTTTGCCCATCCTTTTTTCCGTTTCCCTTCAGGATTCCAAGTTAGTGCCTGTTTCGTGGTGCAGTTTGATGATTTCCGTAATGTATGTCCTATCCATTTACAACGTCTTTTCCTGACTTCCTCATCAGCTAAAAGCTGGCTTTTCCTCTCCCACGGAAGACTGTTAATGATGGTATCCGGCCGATAGATGTTGAGCATCATGCATATATAACTATTTTTAAATACTTGAACCTTCTTGATGATAGTTGTAGTAGTTCTTAAAGTTTCAACTCGATACAGTAGAACTTTATTGACGTTTGTATTGAAGATTATGACTTTGACATTCGTTGACAGTTGTTTTGAGTTTCAGATGTTCTTCAAATGTAGGAATGCAGCCCTTGCTTTTCCAATCCTTGCCTGTATGTATGCATCGAGTCCTCCTTCTTCAGGTACGTGATTGTTTCCACATCCTCCAGAGTTTCTCTCTCAAGTGTGATTGCGTTGGTGTTCTCCGTGTAGTATTTGAAGGTTTTGCTTTTTCCCTTGTGTATGTTGAAGCCTACTGATGTCGAGTCTTTCGCTACAATGGCTGTCATAACCTGCATTTGTTGATATGCATATGATAGAAGAGCCAGGTCATCTACGAAGGCTATATCTTCTAATTGATTCTGAGCTGTTCAATGTATTCCATGCTTTCCCTCAGATGTTGAGGTCTTCCTAATCCAGTCGATTACCAGAAGAATGAGGAAGGACAGACTTGTCTTACTCCGCTTCCAACTTGTAATGCACCCGTCACCTGTCCTCCATGCACGACATTGCGACGTCGTCTGTTGTATTAATTCTGAATAATGTTGAAATATTTCTCAGTTACTCCATAGTGTCGATGATCAGTTGTGTACTACCGATCCTTATCGAATTTTCTGTAGATCTCGAAGTTGAACGTCTACTAAATCTTTCATCCGGTTCATCAAAGACTGTTGAGAATGTTCCTCGTGGCGATAGCAATGTGATACCTCTGTTTTCAGTCCACACACTTGCTCTGATCTACTTTCTTTGGTATCTTGATGGGATGTCCTCCTTTCCAGTCTGTCAATGGCACCTGTTCTTACTCCCAAATATTCCTGGATAAAACGGGAACCGTGTTTTCAGTCGTTTGTATGTCTGACTTCAGTGCTTCAGATGGTATGATGTCAGGTCCTCCTGATTTCTTCGATTGTTGGTTGGGTGACAGAAGTAAGGTCTGTGCATACTGCTTCGATTTCCGCTGGGTTCGCTGGAACTAGTCTATTCAAGAGTTCGTCAATGTGTTCTACCCACCTGTTCCGCTGTTTTTACATCTCAGTGATCGTCCTATTTTCTTTTCCGTGACTTGTTTCTCTAGTTCACTATATTTCCCCCTGTTGTTGAGCGATATCTTGAATTGGTTGAGTTCGCCAGTATCAAGAAGGGAAGTTGTATTGAGCCTTTGTAATACTGTTTCTTCAGTTGTCCAGTGCTTTTTAGCATCAGTTTCATCTTGGCAGCCACAACCAGATGGTGATCTAGAGCTTTGTTAGCTTTTTTCTGCTTTTCATGTCTTCCATTGAACTTCGGAATCTCTTAGTGGTTCAATGATAATCGGTTTGGCGCTCTGTAATGTGATCCAGTGAGACCTATGTAGCTTTGTGAATGCGTTTTTGGGGGAACATAAACACCTATAACTATTTTGTTGGATGCACATGAATTTGCGAAACTCTCGTCAATATTGTTTTTTTTCTCCCAGTCAGTCCATGCCGTCTCATTATGTCTTCGTGCCCGATGTCGTCCATTTCGACTTTGGCGTTTAACTCTCTCATCAGGATGGTCAAGTCCTTTCATAGTCTCTTGTGCGTGATGGATTGTGGCCTCTCGTAAAACTGGCCTTTATTGTCGTCATTGTTATTATTGGTGAGAGCATAACCTTCCTTGTGATCCCCTTCTTCTTTGTTTTAAATGATGATTTGATTATCTTGGATCCACAAGATTCACATCCTATAATTGCTTATTCGGACAGCGTCACAGAAACTTCCTGAGCGTGTGGAATATCTTCTTCTGCGTGACCAAGGCGCAGCAGCATCTCTTCTGGATTCAAACTTTTCTGTCCAGCTTGGGTCCAAATGGGTTTCACTGGATAACCGAAGTATGCCAACCTAGTCAAGTCAGAAATGAAGGGATTCGAAGATATATTTGGAAAGCTATCAATGTGTTGAGAAGCGTTTGGTCTAAGTTGGCTAGTAGTTGCAAGGGATGTGTGGTACGGTGTACCTACTCGTAATCTGGTACAGATGAGTGACCGAGCGCCTTCAGTTAAGATTTATTCACTAAACCTATTAGGTCAGCATTAAAGTAGAGAACTCACAGAAGTATTTATTTCGACAGATTATCTGTTGGAATATGAAGTGTTTAGGGTGTAGAAATGTTACATATCCTGGAAATGATTTTTGACCAGCCACGGGGATTGTGGTGAATAATGTTGAAGAATCCATGGTTCGGATTCCAGATATAAATGATTTAAGTACACAAAACCGACATGGTGGTCAAGTACAATTACAGGGATCAGATTACACAGTCTGCACCCAATACACAACCAAACGAACACATGGTAGCCCAAGGAGAAGACTGTTGTGATGTGCTTGGAATCCTATACTGATATGTGTGCTTCGCGCTAACCCCGCCCCCAACTGACTGCTTGAGAGAGAAACACAAAAATAATGCCGGAAAGTATATCGGACTACCGAATGAAATGCACAGATACCCATTCACATACATACAACTCGATTCTTAGGAAATTGACCCCAATAAAATACACTTGACCTTTGGCTACTTCTAATTGGTTGTCCATATCTACGACTAACATCCGATTATAGGGACTTGGATTCCCATTCAAGTTGTTGCGGTATTTGTACCAACGGATGATTCTTTTGTACGTAGTGAGAAGCCGTGGCCAGTGGAGTCCAATCTGTGTCAAGTGAGACAATTATCCTCTTCAGACAATAGATGAAGGGTTGAGCTGAGTCTCATGCTAGGATGAAACGGACGTCCAGTGCTTTCAAAGGTGGTCTAGGTTAGACCGACTCTTGAACTTAATCAGTATGTTTATATTTCATTTTAATTTACTTTATAGGTCAAATAAATCCTTATCAGCAATTTTTGTACTTTCACTTCTTGTTGTTGCCGTCTCCTAATAGGACAACAGACAAAAGAATAATCTCCATACATTTTCTACAGATTCCCCGAAATTTAAACTCGTTTAATTACTCTTTCTCGACTACAAGGGGATTTAATTAAATGACATGACAACGCGCTTTGAGTAAAAGATAACTAAATATTGGTTGTACAAACCCCTAGCGTACATCAGACCGTAACTATCGTTTACCACATCCCGCATAGATGTTACCACCAGAACAATGAAGCTAAGATGCTCGTACTTTGTTTGGTGCTATGTAACATTTCTTTTATTTGAATGTATAACTAGACGACTAATTACAGAGATACGGAAGTCCCTTTAGTTAATCAAATCCATATATTCAGACGAGGAAAATGTCAAACTGCTAATCAAACCCAAAAAATTTCATTTTCCAAAGAACAAATCACAAGAATGCCCTAACAGACTACTACATACAATTCATTATATGATTTATGAAAGTTTGAAGGTTAAATAAATGCTTGTGAGAAAGAATTTATATACATAGGAAGACCATATATTGCAAAATATCTTCAAGTAAATAACTCAAATAAATTATATTATCTGTTATCTGATAGAACATATAGCTAACCAATAAAGAATTCGATTTGAAATGAGTACACACAAAATTATGACATATTCGGCCAGTAACTGTCAATCATTCGTAACTTATGGCATGCATACTGTTCTAGTCCTAAAAAGCAGATGGGTAGATAATAGATAAGTTGTGCAAGGTACAGTTTAATAAAAAGGGAGATAGTTAAAGTTGGAGTTACGTTTACACATCTTACAAACGGTTTCATAAAGTTACTTACGGATTAAATGGAAATGATTTTAATCATCCTCAAAAAGGGAAAATGTTTTTTTCTGTTTATTTATTAGACTGATATTCCGTTATTTATCGATAGTACACCTAAAACAACATTCATACAAACTATCACTATCTATCTATAGTTTATACCAATGTGGCAGTGCAGTTTGCATTTTTGTGATGCTTTTAAATAATCAGTCAAAGTCTGTTCAGTTTTTATATATTGTTTACTACGATTACTGACTTCGTTTTGACATTTTATAATGTTATTGATAACATGAGTTGTGTTTTAGGTACACTATCACATACATTTTGATGAGCAATATCAACACATTACAATCAATCCTTAGTGAAACATGCTTTCAGTTCGACTTCAATGCGATAGGTCAAGTTGCTCTGATCACTAATACATCGCAATACACAATGCAACTCAGCAATCAAATATAAGTTCGTGCACTTAATTTCAAACCAAACATCTATTACTTTTTGAACGCTCATTATGAATTATTTACTAAAGGGATACCCATTCAATCTGTGTGTTTTCAAAGTGGAAATCTTAATCTGAATAGGTAAACGGAACTGATTTAAACGACATCACATCTTAAGATATATATTCCATGCTAGCACTGAACTGACAGTAAACAAATACAAGTTAAAAAAAGAACGATTGAGAGATAAGAAAATATGGACGATATTGAATGTTTAACCAACAATTGGGACATTGGATCTTGCCACCCCACTCACCACTTCGCCTTCGTTTTCCCTTTTACAAATGTATTGGATATATATATATATATATATATATATATATATATATATATATATATATATCCCAGTAACATGACTAAAAGTTTTACAGTTTTCCAAGTGGCCTGACAAGATACACTAATAATATTATTTCCTTACTTTTCTTCGAATAGATCAGATGAATATTCTGTACTTCTGTTTACTATTCTGAGCAAAGTATAAGTTATAAACTTGTTTTACAGAAATAGGAAGATTAACACAATAAAATCGAAAAGTTGACCATTAAGTTATTCATTACTTAACTAAAGCCAAAGATTTTAATTAAAATTAACATCAGTGATTCTTTTAAATAGACTAAAAAGTAACAAACCGTCTTTTGTGACCAATTCGTAAATAATGCGTATTGATGTGGGCACAGGATGTTTGGCATCTATGCGCATAATCCAAAGATCTGGAGGTAACCTATGGTAACCACGACATGAAACAACATTAAGAAATAAAATAGAACGCTGAGATGTACTCACTTAAGTTAACGCCCCTAAAATATTTCCTGTAACGACTCAGTTAGAAATCAAGTAGTTTAACAAAATGCATGCCACATACTGAGCTTTGTGTCTGATTTGTTCAGTTAAAGTGACCTGTGACTTGTCAAGGTGATCAGACAGATATATCTTACGTATCATATACATAATTATTCATACTAAAACATACACCTCTGGTATTTGCACTTAACCTATAGCATAAATGTGACTCGCCAATAATTATATAACCACCAATTTCAGACCCCAAGGTTGTTCATAGTACCTTGATAGGACTGTAAAACATATTTAGAATAAAGTGTTTAATCCTGTCATTTCATTCACTCTCTTTAGATTATTATAAACGTTGCTACACTATACCAATACGTATACATATTAACTTATGACCAACTTCGATACAAAACTTGTTACCTTCCGCTTGAATTTTAGATATTTAAATATTACAAACTGTTATTAGCCAGTGCGAATCTAAAGAATTCATGTTACATCAACACTGGATCCAGGTACGTCCGGATGATGAGTCTCAAACAGGAGGAAATCCCTGTAGATCCCACTGTTAATCAAAATCTGTCTATTCTATAAGCAGTTGTGATAAAAACGACCATATTGAAGCGGTCCACACAGAATGCAAATATGTCAAGTGATAAAATTCCAGTTAAGACTATCAACAACAAAATAATTTAAATCCTTTCTAAAAATGATACCTATGCGATTATTGAATATCACATAATAGGTAATTTAATTTGATCACCGTATTGGACATGTGGTGTAGGCTACTTATGTTGACAGATATAAGCAGTATGTAAAACCAATCGGAAGTGGAATGCCTGCCAGCAAAATATTAACAAGATTCACTTCAGGAGAACAGAGAGGTAAGCAGAAAACAATTGTAGTAACAACAGAATTAAAAGAATGATGAAGCATGTAAAGGAGAAATGAGGGAAGACGCGCAAATAATATGTCTATTGCACGGTTTTCATATTATACGAAAGCACTCTGTAATTTTAAATTAAACAATCAGTTGGTTTTTCTACCAAGCCTTCGCTCACTACAGACACACCACTCACATAGAAAGATTACAAATATTTGAAGTAAGCTTTTCATAAAACAAAAGAAAATGCGAAAAAAATACAACTTACTCCGATACCGGGACAATTAACTCAGAGACAAGTAGAGAGAAACTATGAGTCATACAAAATGGCTTATTATCAGGCTCGTACAGTGCAGATCTCCATTCATTTTTTTGCGCCTTTTGAACCATAATTTTTCTATACAAAAGTAAACAAAATTTAAAATAAACAGGAGTGAGAGAGAATACAAGCAAAAATTAATGAGATGGTATCACACTTGTTGTATGATATATTGAAAGCAGTTTATTTTAGACACTTAAAGCAATACGAAATTTATAGTTATATTTTGTGATAAGTTTAGATTAAATGACGAGAATACAGGGATCATGAAGTGGATTACAGTGAAGATTAATGTTCTTCTAAAAAATAAATAATTATGTTGTATCCCAAGATTGTAGTTACACTAGTCTACTTCCCCGAACTTAAAAGTATTATCTTAAAACCATTGAAGCTACACTGTTAAATGTTAATATCCTATACCATGGACATTACACAATTTAAAACTTTAGTTTAAAATGAAAATGGATCTCAGTTATAAACTTATTTGCAAAAATACAGCACACTAATTAGTTACATGAATGGTATATAAGAAAACTACCACGAAATTGTAGCGTAGAAACAGCAGTGTTCACTTTTTACTAATATAGCAATGAATATTAGCAGGGCAGTGAATTATCAAATATGGATGGAAATTTATATTTTCTACAGATAAATAAACTAGGCATATGTACAGTTGAATGACTAGACGTTAGAGTGTATCCAACACTAAAACCCTATTAGTTGGCTATGAAAGCTTCCAACAAGTTTGATAACTGGGAGTAATTTCTAGTTGATTACATAATACATATGTAGCAGAATTATAGCTGAAAGAAAACATTAAAAATTAATTGTAACTAAGAATTTACATTAAATGTACATGATTAAATAGAATACTTAACAAACCTTAATTCAGAAATTAAAGATGATTTCGATATCATTGATCCAAGACATACCAAAAATGAAACAGACTTATATAAATGGTGTAATACATCCCATCGACTTTCTAAATTCCATCCACTTTGTTTTTCACTTTCAAAAAATGTAGAGGACTCTGGAATCACTAAAAATAGGAAAAAATTTTCATTTACAAAATTGAAATTTTGTTCTTAGAAGAAAAGTTTACTTAGGGTTTGGAACTTAGTTGAATAGTTTTATTTCTTAAAAATGCTTCCCAGACCGTATCACTGAATACATGCATGGTAAGTATATATATATATATATATATATATATATATATATATATATATATATATATTTATCTTTTGGAATCAAAAAGCATTTAAGTTATTTATTTCTAGTGAAAAGTATGACTTTAATCCGAATTATGATGGGATTTAACTTGGATTTCAATATCTTTAATCTACAAAGGTAGTGTTGGAGCATTCAGACTAGAATTTTACACATTATCGTAAGTTGACTAATTTTGTCTTCCACATAGATAACCGGGAGTTTGAAAAACACCTGTTCATACGTAAGCATAACTAGTGGAAAGATTAGTGGTGTTTTAATTTTTACTTACTACTCTCGAGAAGATAAACACAGTCGTTTATTACTTTATAGAGACCAATTTCGATAAGGGTTTCGATACCAAAATTAAAAAGTCCATAGGGATTTTGACCGTATGTTTTTGTGGAATCATGTAGATGACGTAGTCTCCAAGCGAGTTGAGTATGGTTGTGGCTAGCAAGCTTGTAGTATAAGGAAATAAATTGAAGCAATATTAAGTAAACTTCAAGATAAAGTAACGTAATAAACTTCCAAGAATTCGGAATTGAAAATCAGAACATAAAAACAAACACATGATATACAACCTACCTATCACTGTATTGCTATGAATCGAACGAATACTTGATCAGTTAAAAGATAGATACCAATGTACGCAAATATGCAACAACAACAACTAGGAGACTAACCCAAAATAACTTTCTATAAGACAGTGTAGTTTTTACTGTCAGCTAGCTCCATACGAATGAGTGGGAAATACAAATCTTTCTCTTTAAGTAAATCCAAAATACCTAAGGTTCGAAAGGAATCTGAGCAAGTCATGGTAAAATAATTAGCTGAATTTTAATGAATCCGATCTTATCAGCACAATGTTAATAGGAACAAAAAGCATAATACGATAACATATAATACAAATAACATATTCTGAAGGCAATGTAATAATTGGAAGTAAAACCTGGGTATCTAATCAACCAAAAGCCCTGATAAGTAAATAACGTTTGTCATATCTCCAACATTAGTCTGGATGATCGTTCGAAGAGACGATTAGTAAGGTTTATGTATATCCCAATAACTACCCCAAGACTTTATCATACTTCAATGTATGAGTATCTTTTGCTGTTCTATCTAAGTATAACTCGTTGCTTACATCTATATACAAATTATAATTTCTTTGTAACAAACGTTTGCATGCTTTGAAACCTGAAGATCATGTTTTGTGAAATTATATCCAAGAATTAAGCTTAAACAATCTGGTATTAATCAATTGACGACTGAGTAGCATACAAACTGATTTCTTCTAATCACCTACATAATTTATCATGTTTACTTCATATTAGTATTTTATATATAAATATGTCATTTACCACTAACCTTTGAGTTTAAATTACCAGTAGATATTAATGCTATCTCGATAGTTGTCTGGATTTCATGCCAAGCTACTTATACGTGGATATCATTTTCATGGTTGGCTAACTCCTCTAGTTATTCCTGAAACATGTTATCGACTTTTTCATCATTAAGTTGGACTCTAAGGGGTTTTATTGACATGGCTTTTTTATGTCCAGTAAGACGTAGACCAATATGTGCTCAAACTAGAGTATGATCCAAGTCTACAGATAAGCTCCAGAACGAGCGATCTGTCAAGCCTTTCCAACGATGGCTGATGGCAATGTAATCTATTTGAGTCCATCAACAAGTCCACTGTGGAGGTTGCCAAGTCAGATGACGTTTCTCCTTATGTTTAAAGTTGGCATTTGCCAGAAATAGACGGTTATCTGAGCATAGTTGCAACAGACGACCGCCATTATCTGTTCGCTGAGACACAACACCGTAAGATTAGCCTGAATGCCTCTCGGTTTGGTTTAGTTCACCTTCTTGAGTATCCAAACCACATAACACTACTATTAAATAGGAGCGTTTAGCTTTTTGAGGGAGATTGAATAGCTTCTTATAAAATCTATCTTTAAATTTTCCCGAGCTGCAATCAGTGGGAGAGTAGACAGAGACAACGACATGTCTCCATCTTTTGGAGTTCTTACTGTCTCGTTTAGTCAGGACAGCGCACAAGTGAATGTCTATTGGAATTCAGTTTAACAGAGCCCGTTTTGCTTTTGAACTTAATACTATATCTCCACTAACAAGGCAGTGGGTTCTTCAAATACTTGAAGGGCGAATTGTGCTGGTTCTTTACATTGAAAAGGTGAAGTTAAATGAATGACCTATATGTCCTATATGAGTATTTTGGAGACTCAGGATACATCAACAGCGGGAGATTCTATAGTCCTAGCTAAAGAAACCTGTTTTCTATTTGACACAAGGTTTCACCTGACCGTTGTTGCTACCTTGACGTGGTGGTCGGGCTTGCCTATCGTGATGAAGCAACTGAACTATACTGGCTGGAACAACCGTTCCTCAAGGTCCTACCATGCCAGGCAGGTCGGTTGAAGAGCAGTAAGACTCAAAGCAACAAAACCAAGGTCCGAAGGCAAAGTCGTACTGCTGACTGTACAGAGGTGTGACAGCAGTAAGTTGTTTCCTTCAGACAACCAGCATAACAGCGATGTTGCCTTCCCACAAGGAGGAGTGGGGTTAGAAAAGGTCGACTCTAATAATGCACACCTCGTCTTATCCCACGGATATCCGTCTCCGGCGGTAAGGTCTCGACAAGTACCGAGCTAACACAAAAATTACTCATAAAAAGGTCGTGTGTGACCGACCTCAAGCAGCTGTCCCTTGGGCACTGCGGTCACGCTCTCAGGTCACTAAGACCACCTCCAATCCAATTTCCTTTTCAGGTACCTCCAGCAGAACCCTTCCACGGTGTGGGCACCCGGGAAGTGATAACCGCCCTCATACCTCTAACAGCACTCAAGACCACTGTATTCATAATCAACCTCCCTCTTCAATTCCTATTATTCCTCTTACATCGACTTTCAAATCTGGAATTCCTCTTTTGACTTCCTCCTCAAGTGTCACCACAGCCAACGATTCTAGTGCGCAAAACACTGTCCCAGGTCTACTGAAACCCCGCTCCAAACTACACATTGGAGCCTTCAACGTACGCACACTATGCCAAATCGGTCAGCAGGCTTCCTTGGCTAAAACCTTAGAATCTCGTACGATTGATGTATGCTGTGTCTCCGAAACACGCATACAGGATCCTAGTGTGGTCATTCACTTGACCTCACCTCGGCAAAACGGAGTGCCGACGAGATACACCCTACATGTATCTGGCGACCCGATGGCTAGTTCTCGTGGACTTGCAGGTGTAGGCATAACACTAAGCATGAGGGCGGAACAAGCGCTATTAGAATGGATCCCCGTTAACAGTCGTCTATGCGCTGTTCGGCTAAACGGCTCCGTAAGAACTCGGAAGAATAGGGACACAGATCGTTGCCTCATCGTCGTTTCTGCTTACGCTCCCACTGACTGCAGTTCGGATGAAGTGAAAGATGAATTTTACAGAAAACTCTCTGAACTTCTCCAGAAAGCTAAACGTTCAGACATAGTACTCGTAGTAGGCGACTTTAATGCCCAGGTAGGTAGCTTAAACGAAACAGAAAGACATTTAGGTGGGTATTTTAGTATTCCGGCACAGCGAACAGATAATGGTGATCGTCTGCTGCAACTGTGCTCAGACAATCGTTTATTTTTAGCAAACACAAATTTTAAGCATAAGGAGAGACATCGTCTAACATGGCGACCCCTTGCACCAAACCAACGATGGACTCAAATAGACCATATTGCCGTCAGTCATCGTTGGAGAAGGTCGGTAGAAGATTGTCGCTCATTCTGGAGTACCTGCTTGGACTCCTACCATGCCCTAGTACGAGCACGCATCTGCTTGCGCCTCACTGTACGCAAAAAAGCCACGCAAAAAAGACTCATTAGAATCGAATTGAGTAATGAGAAAACCAAAAGTAGGTTCCAGGAACAACTGAGGTTACACTTAGGTAGTTCTGAAAACGAGGCTGACCCCGATGTTGATTGGAAAGACATATAAGCAGCTGTGGAAACAGCAGTGGCATCTACTAGTGATTTAAACCACAGGGTTATAAAGAACCAATGGATTTCTTCAAGGCCTATTGCACTGATAGATTCTCGTAAACTCATCCCATCAGGTTCTGAACACGATGAAGAGCGTAAAGAAATCAGATCTAGGTTAAGCAAAAGTCTAAGGAACGATTGTGAGCAGTGGTGGGCAACGAAAGCAAAAGAGATGGAAAAGGCGGCGGCTATAGTGAACACAAGACAACTCTACAGACTAATAAAAGAAACTGGAATTAATAAATCAAGTGTAAGTCAGACTATTTCGGAAAAAGACGACACTCTCATCTGCTCCCAGTCCAGACGCTTAGAACGATGGGTGGAACACTTTAAGGAGCAGTTTAGCTGGCCTTCAGCTACTCTACATCTACCCAACATTCCCAGACAGTGTGAATGGAACATTGAAGTAGGTCCTCCAACTCTAGCCGAAGTTCAAAAGGCTATAGTAAATCTGAAACAAGGAAGAGCAGCTGGACCAGATGGATTGGCCCCAGAGATCTTTAAGGATGGTGGTCTAGTTTTAGCGACTAGGTTGACTAATATTTTAGCTAAAATCTAAGAGTTAGACGTTATCCCATCTAACTGGTCACAATCACTTATCGTCCCAATATGTAAGAAAGGGTCAAAATCATCCTGTGACAACCATAGAGGGATTAGTTTGACTAATATAGTATCTAAAATACTAGCCTCGATAGTTTTCGGACGCTTAACTAAGACTCGTGAACTGAAAACACGTGAAAATCAGGCTGGCTTCAGACTTGGTCGTGGCTGCATCGACCACATATTCACCATTCGTCAGGTTCTAGAACACAGGCATACTTATCGGCGTCCGACAATGGTGGTCTTCCTTGACTTAAAAGCAGCGTTTGACTCTGTAGACCGAGAGGTTCTGTGGCAGTGTTTGTCATTGAAAGGCGTACCTCAGAAGTACATAAACCTTGTGAAAGCTCTTTACTCGAACACTAGTAGTCGGGTCAGAGCCTATGGCGAACTGTCATCTGCTTTTGCAACCTCAAGTGGCGTCCGCCAAGGCTGTCCACTTTCTCCATTTTTGTTTAACTTCATCATAGATCTACTGATGGAAATAACACTCTCATCAACTGAATTCTCAGGTATTGATCTCCTACCAGGAGGTCCACTTATTGACTTAGAATACGCAGATGATATAGTCCTGTTTGGTGAAGACGCTGATGAAATGCAGAGTCTTTTGGTAGCACTGAGCAACAATGCCAGAATGTTTGGGATGCGCTCCTCTCCCTCTAAATGCAAGTTGTTGCTTCAGGACTGGTCTGCGTCAACACCTGAACTAAGGATAGGGAGTGAAGTAATCGAACGCGTTGACAACTTCACTTATCTTGGAAGTCTGATCAGCCCTAATGGGTTGGTGTCTGACGAAATCTCAGCACGGATTCGAAAAGCTCGTTTGGCCTTCGCCAACTTACGTCATCGATGGCGAAGGCGAGATATCCGTCTATCAATCAAGGGACGAGTATACTGCGCGGCAGTTCGTTCCGTTTTATTATACGGCTGCGAAACGTGGCCACTAAGAGTAGTGGATACTCGTAAGCTACAAGTATTTGACCACAGATGCCTTAGAAATATTACTGGTATCTGCTGGGATCACCGGGTAAGTAATAGTGAGGTTAGACGCAGGGTATTAGGGAATGATGTTAAATCAGTTAGTGAGGTTGTAAATCATCATCGACTGAGATGGTTGGGCCACGTGTTGCGTATGCCTGAACACCGATTACCACGACGCGCAATGCTAACCGGTGTTAGGAATGATTGAAGAAAGTTAGGGGCGGCCAAACCAAAACGTGGCATCAGTGCTTGAAGACACTAACTTCTGGTTTGAGCCATGTTGGTAGATTCAGACTGCCTGGTTGGGGTCCGCGTGACTATCGTAACCAGTGATTGGAGACTGTGTGTAACATGGCTCAGAATCGATCACAATTGCGTCGGTGTATACACTCTCTGTCTTCCTTTAAACTAAGAGATTAAAATCACTTCAAATCTTTCTTTCTTTCTAGGAACTAATTATTTCTTCCTGTACTATCTCCTTATACACAATCTTTCTTCTATATATTACCACCACTGAATTAACTACTTCTATGAATCCGGTGTTCATCTTGTTGTGCTAATGCGGTATGGCAACTTGGACCGATGCATGTATGTGCCTGGTCCTACGTTGCAGCTGACTGACTGACTGACAAGGTTTCAACACTAAGAGCTCTAACATGTAGTTTAGAGTGTGGTGTCAAGAGACCAGGAATAGCATTTCGTGAACCCAAATCACTAGAATTGGTGGTGCATGGTGATAAACATCGTGAGAAGGGTTGTTCATGGAGATGGAAGAATTATTAAGACATGAGGGGTGATTCGATCATCACCAAGATTATCTTAGACGATTGCCACTTTTCGGCTGCCCACACCGTGAAAGAATATTTTCTCTTGAGGGACCTGAGAAAGAAGCTGAATTAGTGGTGGTCTTAGCAACCTGGGATCGTGACCGCCGAGCCCAAGGGACAACTGCTTGAGGTTGGCCGCACATAGTTGTTATAATAGCTGAGTAATTGAAAATGTCTTACCACCGTAGGCGGAAGTCCATATGGTTACGCAAAGTGCAACATTTTTAGGTCCGATCTTTTCTAACTCCTTCCTCCAGTTATGAGGAAACAACACAACTGAAGATGCTGGCTGTACAAAAGAAACACATGACTGCTGTCACATCCCTCCACAGTCAGAAGTACGACTTCACCCTCGAACCTTAAGTTGATGCTCTTGGTCCCACCGTTCTCCAACCGACCTGTCTGGTATGGTAGGATCTAAAGGAATATGTGTTCCAGCCGATATAGCTCGTTCGAGTCATCACGATGACTCAGCCCGACCACCAAGTCAAGGTAGCAGCTACGGTCGGATAACGAAGTTGATTAAATGGATACCTTTTAACATCGATAGCCACAATGGAAACCTTATTTCGAGATGCTCAGATACTCGCATTTTGTTACAGCGAGCTAGCTGCAAACTTTTGGTTTATTGGACAATAATTAAGTGAAAAAATACATGAGAAAAATGCACTAATATCAAGTCATAAACAGCATTCCGTGAAAAATGTCGTTTACTTGGTACGTGAGATGATTGCTGTTTTTACGAATTCGGAAAACATTCCAACCAGGCTACTTATGTTGCAGTGAAACGTCACCCATTATTCACTGAAACATGGACAACTCATGTCTAAAACTAGACAGAAATGTTTTAGAATAAACATTTCTGTTAGGTCAGTCAGTCAGTCAGTCAGTCAGTCAGTCAGTCAGTCAGTCAGTAGGTAGGGAATGACAAGTAACTACTGATGGTTTGGAATACGTACTATTGTCAGCTTAACCATTCACAAGACAAAGAACATAATTTAAGTGAAATAAATGTAGGTAATAATCAGTTAATTCCATTGAAACAAGAATCAGAAGTCGAGTCCACAGAAAAGTGAGTTGAAGGTGTGACAGCTGTGTAAGTGATGATTAGTTTGGACTGTATGACCCAACAATAGCAACTGGGACAGGTTTTTTAGAGAAAGATGCTTCGAAAAACAGAGCTTTATTCTACTGATACAGGGAACCACATTTTCTAGACTTTTCTGGATAGCAGACACATTACTATCCTAATGATTCAATAAAAGTAAATATTAGTTTCCAGAATGCTTTTACCATTTAATGTGAAATAACCTGATCGTACGCACTGTGCGATAGATTACGGGCTAACAAAACAGTAATTTTCCTGTGCCATGTATAATAGTAGGAAGTGTTGTTGAACACTACTTCTCAAAAGGGTTTTTAAACATATCTAGGATACTTTAGCCTATTTCCTAAAAAGCCATATAAGAACGCAAATATAGGCCCTCGCACAAAGTAATTATATTAGGGATATTATTTGATCTATATTATACCATCATAAACTATCTAAAAGTTTTTACAAAAAACTTAAAACTTACATGAATTGGCTCATTTTTGCCGATTAAATACTCAAAAGCACTTTCAATGCGGGTTCTGAAGGTTAGTTTATTTGGCGATGCTGTTAAATGATTTCAATAACAATATACTGAAGTATCAGAAAATATTTTCTACAAGAAATTGATCATAGGAATAACGGAGAGACCATTAGGATGAATAAGGAAAAAACCTGTACCCTGTTGCCAATGATAACCTGACATCGAATAAAGGTTGAGTAACATGTACGGGTGGACTGGGACTCCAAGTAATACTACTAATCATATTTATATTTTAACCCAGTCCGACTTTAGAAGCTTTTATGAAAATTGAGTTGGAACAGATGATTGATTTGCATTTACTCGCCAGTCTAAAAATGTGTTAACATAACTATGGTGATCAAAAAGCTAATATATTGGCTGCTTTTGATGACTAAGTGTTTTATATATATGCTGTTCTAACTAATTTTCGTGTGCTAAATCTAATAGTCCATAAATTATATTAACGCCAGAAATCCAGACGTGATGGTCATGAATGCATTTGAAGTCAGACACGTAAATGTTACGAACACCGTACCTTTAACTGCATTCCAAATAGCTTCAGATGAATCCAGTTTTCGTCCAGAAAGCAGGTGATTAAAATTGACACCACAAGCCCTTCCATCAGGTCGATCAACTTTATTAAGTTTAACTAGTTCTTGACATAACTGGAATAGGTTACCTGGTTTGAATATATTCGGAAACTCAGCCTCGACTTGTTCACTATTAACAACAGAGTTTGCTAGCCAAACTGATGAGTCGCACTCGTAAGCTCGATATAAATCCTGTTAATTAACATAATACTATTTTTTACTTTTAAAATGCGTATTTCCTCCAAAATGTTTGAGATCAGTTCATTAGACTTGTAGGGTGTGATATTCACAGTCTGAAATGAGTACTAATAGGAAATAGACAAACCAATTCTCCAGAAACAAAAGATGGAGGGGGACTAAGTACTTTGTCTTCACATGTTTCATATCGAGCTTCGAATACCCCATGAGACAGTTTGTACATGCACTCGAAAGTGCAAACAAACTCCTGAAAATTAAAAGTTATATATTTTGTCTTACGGGAAAAGAAAGCATTAATTCTTGAGATAATTCTTTAATTGAATGATTTACATCAGCATCTAGAAACTCATGCTGCATTAAGAGTTACTCACTAAACTCGGAACTTATGCGTAGAATTCTTTTGGACGTCTTAGTCCTTGGAAATAACCCAATGAATTGTTCACCCTTTTCACGTACAAAATAAAGTACGTTATCGATATACCCTCCAAAAGGTTTACTGAAAGTGTTTTCAAAATACTAAACTTACTTCTCCAGAGGTTTGAGTCCTTTAAAGTCAAAGAATCTTGAGCGTGGCCCTGTAGATTCATTTTGTGAGTCAGTAAAACTTGACTCAATCGATAAGTTCGCTATTTTTTCAATTTTTAAGGGGTTTCCTTCAAAATCGTCACATCTAGACGTTTCAGCGAAGCGACTGGAGGAGCTTAGACACTCATTTTTAATATCCAAATTGATTTTGACATCACAAGGCGAATGAACAACTTTTGTGCACACAACCCCAAATTCTTGCTCCACTAATGACAACATCAGGAAGAAAAACTACCGCCGTAGACAAACAAACTATATTTCCGCGGTTGACCTTTAAGAAGTCAAACCAATTCCTGATTGTTGTAGTTAGATCACACACATGGAGAACAATGTTACGTCTAAAATTTCTTGCTTTGACTACTAGGTTGTCGTGTTGTCTCTGGTTTGTTGTAACTTGTTTTCATTTATTAAATGTTAGTACATTCTATGTTATGATAATAGTTAACATTGACTTATTCAGTAATTATTTTTTTACTATTATTTGCATTTCTTTCGTTATTTCTCATAATTTGTACAATTACCATTAATGACCGTAAAACTTAAAAAAAAAACATGACTTTTGGTCTTTCGTGCCGCTATTGAACACTCATAGCTTGACACATTGGTTATCACTCACAAATACATTGCTGTACACATATGCTTCTTGTTCTCAATTATCCACTGTTACAGTAACAGAACTTCGATATATTTGCTCTTCATGTTTACAGTTCACAGTGAAACCCTCATTACATGCTCTGCCCGGATACACATCCCGGATTATAGCAGTTGCAGTTGGAATTACTAAATACTCATATTTGTGGGTGACAAGGAAATTTAACGCGCCTATTCCCGGCAACTTAAGTAACATCTAGTATATTTTTCCTGTGTATAATTTATATTTAGTATAATAACACACTAACTACGCCTGTAGCTCTTCTACAGTTACTGCCAGTCCCAAGTACACACAAAGAAGAGGATTAAGCATAGAGTTAACATCCCCATCCTGTAGAAAACAACCTTGCTAGAAAAACGATAACGAGAATGAATGCACTAAAACGGTTATTATAGGTACATAGAATATCTGGACATCATGGTAAACCAGAAGGACCAATCAAATAGCTGCAGAAATGAGAAGACACTATTTGACGGTTCTCGAAACAAATGAAACCCATTGGACTTGAGCTGGACAGAAAAGAATAGATTCGGGGAAAATGCTGCTGTACTCGCATCACGAACAAGAAAATGCTCCACACACACAAGCAGGCAATTCGATTGATGCCATTCAAGGATGCACGAAAAAGAATTCGTTGTGGGAGGCTCATGTATCCAGGATCATCAAAGCACCTTTAAAAACACAAAAGGATGGAAGCGCAATGAATGTTATCCAGTGCTACGCACTCACTCATGTTAGCAAAGATGGAAAGTACCGTTTTTACGACAAGCCGAAACCAATCATAGATAAGTGCTCAGTACAGAACTTGACCATCCTGATAAGAGACATAAACGTTAAAGTCGGAATGGACAATATCGGGTATGAAGATATCATGGGATGACATGAACCGACTGGGGGAAACAACATTACAAAGATTCAATACAATCTCCCTTCCAGATACTGACAAACTCAACAAATTCAAGATATCTCTCAACAACAGGTTACAAGCCTTACAGGATCTACCGGAAGAAGAAACTTCTCTGAAGGACAACTGTAAAAGCGTCGAAGAAGCACTAACCTCGACGTCTCAGAAGGCACTGGACCTCAAGAAGTATCATCATAAGAAATGGATCTCTATCGCAACCCTGGACAAGATTCAAGAAAGAAAGAGCAAGAAGACAGCAATTAACAACGGTCGAACAAGAGTAGAGAATGTCAAGGCACGGGTCGAATACAAAGAATCAAATAGGCCATTGAAAAGAAGCATTACAGACAATAAGCAGAATTATATGTAGGAGCTAGCAACAACAGCTGAAAAAGCTGCAAGAGAAGGAAATATGAGACAGCTATAAGGCACAACGTAGAAACTGTTAGGGAACTATCGCAAACCAGAGAAACCATTCACTGGCAAAGAAGGCAAAACAATCACTGAGATGCAAAACAGCAGAAATAGTGCTGATCTCACGGTATTCTGAATCACACATACGAACGTATTATTTTATTCTCCAGAGAGTCTCCCTACACAGATAAAAAATAATGGCGAAAACCAATCACCAAATACGTCTATTATAACTAGTTCTACACTATGTTTACTGAGTCACTGAATCACATTTTATTGTATTCTATTCTATCCATTTATTCTAGCAATCCCACAACATACAAGTAGCATTCGGGTTAGGAAAAACCTACCAAAGCTGGACGTCACGGTCATGTATTCACATGTATTCCAGCCGACATGAAAATGAGAAAAGAGAAATTGTAAGTGCATGTCGAAGTGCACTCATGCTTGCGTAAGGACACAAAACGTGAGAAGGAAAAATAACTGGTGTACGTACGCATCGACAATATGGAATGGTGTAAGAACAATTTTCGACGATGACATTTTTATATCTTTAGGGAGAAAACAAACACATACTTACGAGTATATTAGGAAAAATAATCTTTGTTTATTTGATGCAATAGTGCAGACAAATGAGATTAAACAAAATGTTACACAGAGTCATAAATGAAGTAATCGTCTAAGTGTTCCGAGATCTGTCCCTTTTTTTCAGAGAGCGTTGTTATCGGCCGATTTTTGGATACTGGAAAAGCTTTGTCGGAGTTGTTGACTATCAGAGACGATATCGTAATTGTGAGGCATATGTTGTTTGGTAGTACATGGAGAAAATCAACATTATTATGGTTTCTTTCTTAATACACGACCTTAAGTCGGTCAATACTGACACTATAGTTAGCTCCATCCTTACCGTTTGTATAGTATTGGGGTTCACGATGTATTCAACGTCAGTTTCCAGTGCATTGCGAATACTGAGTATCAGGAGTGGAAAATCGTCAGTGCACTGCGATACGTTGGCAGCTGAGATTTAAGCTTTCACCTGTGAAATTGTTCTATCAACCCATTTGTGTGTGTGCTAAACGATTGTCAGGATCATGTAATTCTTAGTAATGTAGTAAGACAATGAAGGGGTCCAGATTCGACGGTCTGTAATGATTGTTGAAGGGCAGCCGAAGTTTGCTTCCTATCGTTATACGAAGACTCGGGCTACTGTGTCACAAGTGATGCTCGTCATAGGTACCGCTCCTGACCATCGTGTGAAACGGTCTACACACGTCAAGAAGTAAGAGTGTCTATTTGAGTCGAGTAAGGTCCCTACCAAATCCATATGTATATCGTTGAAACGAGTTAGGAGTTGTGAAAGAACCTAAGGGATATTAGCTGTGTCTAGTCACCTTAGCTTTCTGGCAGCCTTCATGGGTGCGTGCCTACTCTCTTGCATCTTTATTCACACCAGGCCAACATAATGGCCCTGTAATAGACTTGATGGTTGCTTTAACACTTTGATGAGAAAGTTTGTGCAACGTATTCAAGACACGGGGCCGACAAAGTTTCGGTACGATCGGATGATCCACACCTTTGGACGTGTTATGTAGTAAGGGTTCCTCATCTGTTTCCATTTTTGATCCGTGACTTCAGGTTCATCGAAGATAACTCGTGCAGGAAGTCACTGCCTTCTTTTTGAATGCATGCAATTTGAAGAAGATCGATCCCTTGAAAATTATCCAAGGAAGTTTTACGAAAAAAGGAGTCCGCAACTATGTTGTTTTTCCCAGAAATATGTTGCATATCTGAAGTAAACTGCGAGGAGTAGTTCGGTTTGCAGGATACTCGGGAAGAGCACTTGTCTGAAGACGAGCTTAGACGGGTGAGGAGTCTGTGGTCATTAAACGGAATGAATTCTTTGCCCTCCATAGGGTCTTTTAATTGCCGTGCAACACAATACAGGACTAAGATTTCCCTGCTGAAATCGCTACACCTCGATCAATTGTCTTGTAGCCAACTCGAGAGGAAGGCCGAAGATTGATAGATGTTATTCATCCATTGTTGTAAAACTCCTCTGATTGCCGAGTTGGATGTGTTTACGTCACCACCAATGAGTGCTTCTTAGGACTCTTTACGACTGACTTTTAAAAATAATCTTTCATTATGAAAAACATATTATTTACATTAAAAGACTAAAAGAAGTCCACTTGAATCTGGTTGAGCTTTCTTTTATCAAAGTGCACTCCGCTCGCCTTACACTGAATAGCCGGGCGCGATTGTGAACGTCTATCAAAGTAAAGACAACGTTTTTCACCGAACAATACCAGGTTCAAGTTGTAACTTGATTACTAATTTTCAGCACTGCACTCATACACTTTCTCACAGTCTCTCAACAATATGCTGAAAATCACTCTACAACAATGATAAAGAACTCATAAAAAGAAGGTAACTGCGGCCTGGGATTTAAAACAAAATAAAACGTACCTTGTCAGATTGCTAAATTAATTGGTGTGATCGTTTTCCAGTTTTGGCATTTGCATTACATCGATCTTAGTAGCTTTTTTCGTGTAACGAACTCTCCTCCAATTTACTTATTTTGCCGATTAACGTCGACATTTTGACTCATATTTTCCTTTATGTGATCATTATGTTATTGCGAAGAGTTGATTGCAGTAACTTTTGTAACTTTTAATCGATTGTGCACTCTAAGTCTACACAGTAGACGAGAATACCATCACGGCATACTATGGTTTTAAAACGTATGCTGTCCCAAAACAGTATTGGAATCTATTACGAGATCGATTGTGCAACTAAATGTTGACTTTCGAAGGCATTCACAGACGTATTAAAAAGCGTAAGTTATCATGAAAAACCTGTGCATGTACTCAACTTAGTAATCCTAGTTATGTTATTTCATCAGAATTGATGTATTTTTTCCTACCCAAAACTCACCTAAATAGTAACAAAATATAGAAGTACATTCTATGAAATGTATCTTTAGGATATATCAAGCTTTTCCAATTTGAGGTTGGAATCTCTAAACAAAAATTCAACGTTACTAAAATTACTCATAATCAATTTCAGTGGAATATTTTACTAAAATGTTGTCCTAATAGCTGATAATCATTCATGTGGATTTAAATGTTTGTTAAATTTTATTTCTTATAGTACATATCTTTATATACACATGTAAGTCTATTATATAAATATGAAGACTTGATATTGTTTGTGTGCATTTATTTACGAAACAGTGATAAAGATCAAGGG